CTAAACTACGATCAGTTAGAAAGTAAGCCAAAGCATCTCAAAGTATATCATCAGTTATCAGGCAATAACATGCTATTTCTAAAACCTAACTTAAATGCAGATTTTAAAGACATTTTAAACATGTCAGTTTAGTCACATTTATTGAATAAAGTTAGCAAATGGGTATCTCTTGAAAACGAGAGCTCCAGGGAATTAAAAAATGTAAAGTGCCCATTTCCTTTCTGTGCTAACACAGCTAATTATGATCTTTACTTAACATGCATAAATGGACAGAACAACTCAGTATTTCACCAAATTAAAAACAAGAATTATATTAGAGAAGTGAAACCCAAAAGAGAAACGGTCATATAACTAACCTAAGTCAAGTAGTTCTTGCAGTTATTTGAAGTCTGTGGATTTGAAGTAGGAATTCTTACGGGCATTTGGGGAATATATTTTCTGTTGAGTCCTATACTGGGAAGATTTTCAACACAAGGTGACTCTGGGTCTCGCCTTGTAGGAAGAGTGCTGAGAAAATATTTCACCTGCTTGTTCTTCATAAGGAGCTTGGTGTTGATCATTGCTATTTTCCTATTGGATCTGTAAAGATAGCAAAGACAAATGCTTAGTATTTCATTTTTCCTTAAATGATTCTTAATGACTTGCAGTTTTTAAAGACTTGCCCTGAGAGCAAACCAAATTACCCACTAAACAGTGTTTTCACATCGAAGATGTGTGAGAGTATACCTGTTGTAAGGAATTATAATTTTAAAATTGTTCTAAAGGAGCACCTGTGTTTCTAAGGTGATTTATACTGAACAAGCAGTTCAAACAAAGTAGACAAGGAAGAGATAATGGTTGTCAGTGATGTATGGCTCAAAAGGCAAAACTTGCTGCCTTCTAAAATGGCTCTACTTGTAAGATTCTGAAGTTCCATTAGAAATACTTGTATTTAAAGGGTAACGATGCAGGAAAATGGATATATTGATTTGCTTGATTATAAGAACCACTTCACTAGAAATAATTATATCAAAACATCATGTTGTACTCCTTGAGGTAGGTTAAGAAAACTAAAATGAACAAAAAAAATCTAGGAATACTTGTGTTGAGTAAACCTTGTACATTCACCCTTGTACATTTCACCCATTATCTAGGAACAATTAAACATTCGGCACTGAGGAATAATTCAGAGAAACAACTCCTAGGGGAGAACTAGATTGGCTGGTGATCAAAAAGAACTGAAGCATCTCTGAAGGCAATTAGCCCCCAGCACTGTGACCAAGGCACTGGAGGTGGGGCTTGTTCTCTGCCTTCCACACGCTCCTTCAGGCTGAACAAGGTGTTATTTTTTAACCACTTTGTGAATTACACTTCTTCAAATTCCTGTGATAATTATTCACTATTTCACAAAGATGCCTTTCTGTAACATCTTGAATATGTTACACAAATAGTCTTTCTTGAGGCACCCTCTAGTGATAATACTAAAGATCACAATCAAAAACAATCGTGCCCAGAGTAGCAGTACCACTTGACACTTTGGGTTTAGGTTGTGATCTACCAAAAATTAAATTAAAATCATTAATATTTCTATTTAGGGAAATTCTGACAAGTAATCTTATAACAAGATCACTTTATTAATTACAAAACTTCAAAAATACTTAGTGAAAAAAACTAACAGATCAGGTTAACTACATGAGATTTTTCAGGGGAAAAAAGCCATACAAAAGCAAAAAAACAAAAAAAAAGTGAGAGGAGAGACAGAAACTATCCTTGACTAACATTTTAAAGGTAAGATTATTTACTAACATTATTTTCCAAAATTACATGATCAAATTAGCGTTCACTTCCTACTAATATCCTGAAGCCATCTCACTAAAAATTATGCTTTCAAAACAAATTAATGAGCTTTATTCATTCCCTATGAGTGGATGTTTTGACTTACTTCGTTAATGTTTTTGACACGGAATTGTTAGCTTTCAATGCTGCTGCAAAGGCTTCCTTATATTCTTCCAATTCGGTTGTAACCTCTTCATAAGCAGTTTTCATTTCGGAGAATTTACATTCCGCATCTTTAAGTTCGAGTTTCTTCTTATTTAGCGAAGTCATATTATCCTTATTTAACTGCTCTAATTGTTTTTCATACTGTGCTTTTCCTAAAACAAATGAAAAGAATACACTTTTAAAACAATTATAACCTAATTATTATGTTTGTTGCCTTTCACTTTGAGTCAGTGATTCAAAGAGCAATTTTGAACATGTTAAAAAAAGAGGCTGAAGCTTAAAATGTTTATCAGCAATATCAAAACTAATAACTGAATTCACAATTAAGTCTGATTTATAAAAATTTGAAATCATAATTATGTTAGTATTAATGTAATCTGGTCATATAAAAATAGAATCCATTCATAATTTTAAAAAGTGATCAATGAACGATGTAGCTAAGACCCATTCAAAAGTATCACATGATTTCTAAATCACAAGTTTTTCTTATGCCAACTGGTCTTAATCATCAAATGACTCCATAGTGAGAACCAAGAGTTTGAGGCTGCAGTGAACTATGATCAAACCACTGTCTCCAGCCCAGGTGACTACAGTTGCCCAGAGCCCAGACTACACTAGCAAGATCCTGTCTCTTAACAACAACAAAAAAGCTCAAAGAACTAGGGGAAAGTAGTTTGGTTAATGGATATAGAATTACAGTTAGATAAGAGGAATGAGTTCTGGTATTCTGCGGCATTGTAGAGTGAATATGGTTAACTATGATTTATTGTATATTTTTTAAAAGCCAGAAGATTTTGAATGTTCACAATTCAAAGAAATGAAAAATGGTTGAAGTAGTAAATGTGCTAGTCAGCTTGATCATTACATCCTATATACGTGTATCAAAATATCACTAACCCATAATTATGGATATATGTGTCAAAAGAAAAGCTATATTCATCCCATTTAAAAAAACCGAATATAGGCCAACCTTACTGACTTCCTCTTAATGAATAGAATGCAGTAAAAGGGATACCATGTGGCTTCTCTATCCCAGACTGCTTTCACTTAGAATCCAGCCCCCAGATTGTCAGCACACGCAGGCCACAAAGAGAACCTGGCAGTGCCAGTGTCAGTATTCATGCTGCCTGCCCAAAGGAAGGTTCCAGCCAATGGCCAGCATCAACCATCAAATACATGGGTGAATAAAGGCCTCAGATGATTCCATTTCCCCAACTGATCAGCTGTTCCTAGGGAAGCAGAGGGGAGCAGAGACAAGCTGTCCTGGCCAAACTTTTTCCAAACCACAGGTTCATTAACAAAAAAAAAGTTTCTCTTTTAAGCCACAAAACTCTGGGTAATTGTTAGAAAAATAAGTTTCAAAAAGAGACAACAGGAAACACAACATGCAACAGAAAAGAGTCTCCTTTAAAGTAGGATATAATAAATGTTGAGGTTAATTTATTGATGGCAAACATTACTGAGAAGCAGCAGATAACCAGGAGAGAGACATAAGCTGCTGAGGAGGAACTTTTCCTAAAACCCCTTAATTATGAACTCTAATAACAAGGCAAGGGTTCCCCTCAAGTTAGGAAATAAGACTGGGAAGCAAGAAGACATATGATTTGAAAAACAACTAGAAATACTTGGTTACATAATCAAAATCAGACATTGACCTAATTTCAATTAACTAAAATTCTAAAAGGTAAGCTTTGAGTGTTTATTAATCAATCTAGTATTTAATTTTTATTTTCCTTTTCTCAATAAGGAAATAAGGAGAACATTATGGAGTGATTTTCTGTCCTCGCAGAAGTAAAATAAACAATGTACTTTGAGTGTTAAGAAATCCAATGCAATTTCTCCTTTACCTTGCTCCAAGCTTGTTTGTATGGAGACATTAAGACCATCCCATCTCTGTGTTATACCACAAGGCTTCTCTATAGCACACAAGCTGGCTCTGAAATTTTGAAAGTCAAAATACTAATCTACTATGTGTCTCTGATAAATTGTCTGAACATTACCTGATTTTTAAGTGCTGCACTCCTAAGACTTTTTCTTGGAATGAGTTAAACTTTATATTCTAAGAATCCTCTACTGAGCTAGAAAGCAGAGCTGTGCATCTCTGTTTCAGTAAAAGGAGCTCTACACAGGGAGCTGTGGTTTCTGAGAATGCAAGATCTGCACCAAGAAAAGGATTAGCCACACAGTGCTACACAAGAGAACTAGCTACCAGGTGGAAAGAGGATCTGCAAACTGAAAGATGATGACTTCACTTGATTTCCACTGAGGAAAGCTGAGGAAAGGTGGCCCAGACTGAAACTTCTCCTTCCTGGATGGTAAATATCTATGGAAGATTCTATGAATTATAATGAGTTAGCAAAACATAATGCACTAAATATTAGACTATGTCAGCAGATCCTGTGACCGAAACTTAATGAAAATAAAATGACAGCAGGAGGCAATGGAAAAGATACTACAGATTTGAATGGAGAAAAAAAGAAATAAAGTATATCTTGTAGGCCTGGCTTCCCATCACATCTTAGAGTAAGTAAGGTATAAGCTGGCCAGAGACTCCTCTGAGACACAAAAGGTGAAGTTAAAGATATTCCACTAAATTTAATTTTTATTATGACATAAGACAACTGGTAATATGCAACATGATTCAAGAAACTTCTCAGTAAATTCAATTTGACCTTGGCATAAGAACAGACATAAACAAACTAAGAGTTGATGATCTAAAAATAAACCTGCACATTTACAGTCAATGGATTTCATATAAGGTTAACAAAGGAACAAAATGGGAAAAGAATAGTCTTTTCAACAAATGGTGCTGGAACAACTGGGTATCCACATGCAAAAAAATAAATAAATCTGGACCAAATATCTTACTTAAAAATTAACTCAAAATAAAACAGTTAACTGTAACAGCGAAAACTATAAAACCCTCAGAAGGAAACACTGGCATAAATCTCTGTGACTGCATTTGGCAGTGTTTTCTTAGCTATGACTCCAAAGGAAAAATGGATTCAATGAACTTCAAAATTGAAAACTGCTGTGCCTGAGAAGACAGTACCAAGAAGTGAAAAGGCAAGACACTAAGTAGAAGAAAGTATTTGAAAAGCATATGGCTGATAAGTGACTTACATATATAAGACACGTAAAGAACATTTGCAATTCATAAGTAACAAGATAACTCAATTTAAAAAATGGGCAAAGATTTTGAACAGATACATCTGCAAAGAAGATACAAAGATGGATAATGAGCACATTAATAGCTGCTTGATGTAGTTAGTCTTTAGGAAAATGTAAATCAAAACCACATGTGGTATCACTTCACACCACAGGATAAAAATCTTTGTTCAATAGAAAAAGAAAGTAAGTGTTAGGAAAAACGTAGAGAAATTAAAACCTTACCCAATGCTGCTGGGAAAGTAAAGTGGTGCAGCCACTTTGGAAAACAAACTGGTAGCTCCTCAAAAGGTTAAGCACGAAGTCACCATATGACCCAGAAATTCCAGTCATAAGTATATACTCCAGAAAAATAAAAACATATGCAAGCACAAAAACTCATACATAAATGTTTACAGCAGCATTATTCACAGGAGTCAAAAAGTGGAAAGAACCAAAACATCCATCACCTTTGGGTGGGAAAGAACCCAAAAGTCCATCACCTGGTGAATGGATAAATAAAATGTTTGACCTATCCATACAATGGAATATCACTCAGCAATAAAAATAAATTAAGTACTGATACCGATAGGAGGAGGAGACAGCAAAATGTCTAGGCAGATACAGAAGGGTCGCCAGAGAATCTCCAACCAGCCCTTAAGTGTTTACACCAGATGTTATGTGCAGATAAAGGAAACTGGACTTGTCTTGCCTAGACATGCTGGCAGCGAACTGGAGGCCCACATGCATTGGGGGGATGGGGTGTAGCCACCAGGAATTCACATCTTATGCAGGGGAGGAGCCTGGCCACTTCAGCTCATGTGCTCCTGGTATTCAATTGTGAGGTCGAAACCTGTTGGCAGGACCCCTCTCTTTGCTGAGCACTTTCCTTTCACTTAATAAATTCTGTCCTCCTCACCCTTCAGTGTGTCTGCATGCTTAATTTTTCCTGGTCATGAGAGAAGAACCCAGATTTAGCTGAACTAAGGAGAAAAACCCCACATCAATACCTGCTACAACACAGATGCAGCATGAAAAATTATGCTAAGTGAAATAAGCCAGTCACAGTAGACCACTTGCTTTTTATTTCAGAGGCTTATAGGCAAATCCATACAAAGAAGGTGGGTGGTTCCCTAGGGCTGAGGGAGGAAGGGAAAACTAGTGAAGATGGCTAAATGATGTGGGGTTTGTTTTTAGGGTGATGAAAATGTTCTAAAATTGATTGTAATGATGACTGCATAACTGTCTGAAAATATTAAAGTCAATGACTTGTATATTTTAAATGAGTAAATTGCATGGTGTGTTCAAGATTTCTCAATAAACCTGTTACGCACCACCCTCCTCCCACACAAATTAATTTGGTACTAGTGGTCTGGAGACAGGTACTGCTTCGTTTCACATCACTTGCCAGAATTCAAGACATAAGAGAATCAACAGCATGTCCTTTTTATAGAAAAAAAAATTTGTAATTTAAAAACTATCCTTTTTATTAGTATCAAGTCTGTAAAATTAAATGAAAAATCTTTCACTGCTTAAAGCACTGAGAGATTTATATTGAGGAATAAGACCTTGTTTCCTTTGGCCCCAATAAAGGGTCTAGGAATCGCATGCTTCAAACTATAAAATCTCAGCAGATGGGTTTTATTAACTCTTATAATGTGGCTTACTTTCTAACCTGATTCTGGTACAGCATCACAGAGAGAAGCTGCTGAAGGAAATCAAAATATTTAACCCCAAATATACATTTTTTACATATTTTGAAATGGCTGCTGCAGGGCCAAGAGATTGAAATGGCCCTCATTAATGTAACCCAGTCTCTCCCCTTCTAGGTCTTCCCAGATATGGGGAAGATTAAGAGCCTGAAACATTTAAAGTCTGAAAAGATATATTTACCCTCTATTTTCTCAACATATTTTGACAGAATTTGGGCTTTTCCACTATTAATATTTTCCCAAATTACATGACTTTTAAGCCCAAAACTGATTTAAAATTACCATATGTTGGAATATAAATTTTTCTATTACAAAGATACATGCGTTTGTATGTTCATTGCAGCACTATTCTCAATAGTAAAGACATGGAATCAACCCAGATGTCTATCAGTGATACATGGGATAAAGAAAATGTGATATATATACACCATGGAGTCATAAACATGAATGAGATCATGCTCTTTGCAGGGACGTGGATGAACTCAAAGCTGTTATCCTCAGCAGACTAATGCAGGAACGAAAAACCAAATGCTACATTTTCTCACTTGTAAGTGGGAGCTGAACGACGAGAACACGTGGACTTGGGGAGGGGAACGACAAACACTGGGGCCTGTTGGGGTCAGGAGGGAGAGCATCAAGATCAATAGCTAATGCCTGCAGGGCTTAATATCTAGGTGATGGATTGACAGGTGCAGCAAACCATCATGGCACACGGTTACTTATGTAACAAACCTGCATATCTCACACAAGTAATCTAGACCTTAAGATAAAATAAATTTTTTTAAAAAATTACCTTATGTTTTAGCTTCTTAATCAGAATATCCATTTTCAGTTGATCTGTTTTTAAGTCTCGATGGCAACCGAAGTCTTCATTTCCAAATGCACTTAACATATTTATTGCCATTTCCAGGAGTTTCTTATATCTGCAGAAATGCACAGAATTAGTAAGTATTTTTAAGAGTAAATATTTAATAATTGTTTAAACAGATATTATGTCATCGCATATCAAAGAAACAAATCTCTAAACTATGATCCTTTCGGTTTCAACTGAGCATAGTTTGGAAGCATTCTATACGAAATTATAATCTTAGATACATAATATGAAGGACATTTTATGGCATATATGGCAGGCAAAGTGGTATTATAACCATACAGTTTTTGTTTTTGTTTTTGTTTTTTGAGATGGAATTTCACTCTTGCTGCCCAGGCTGAAATGCAATGGTGTGATCTCAGCTCACTGCAACCTCTGCCTACTGGATTCAAGTGATTCTCCTGCCTCAGCCTCCCAGGTAGCTGGGATTACAGGCGTGTACCACCACGCCTGGCTCATTTTGTAGTTTTAGTAGAAATGGGGTTTCACCATGTTGGTCAGACTGGTCTTGACCTCCTGACCTCAAATAATCCACCCACCTTGGCCTCCCAAAGTACTGGAATTATAAGTGTGAGCCACCACACCTGGCCTAACCATCCACTTTTTGTAAATAAACTATTCATATCCATGTTGGTATGCTAAGATAAAACAACCTATTACTAAATATAAGCCATAACCCAGAGATTAGTAACCAAGATAATAAAGTAAAACACATAACATTTGAAAAAGACACAAAAATAAATTTGGATACCCACTGACCACATTCCATAAGAAGAGAAAAAAGTACACACAAAAAGCATCAAGGACATTATTCAATGTAGAAAGAGAAGTAAGAAAACATCTTTAATATCTGAGTTAAGGAGAAAAAGGAAACAGGCAGTTTTAGAAAAAAGGAAAGGGGCAGAGAGACGTGTAATGATTTAAAGACTTTGAAGACGAGATCTAGAGATCTTTGCTGACGTAATGTCAACAAAATGAAAGAGATACAAAACCATATAGAGAAAGGCAATGACAGAAAAATGTCGATTAGAATCAGAAAACCAACTTAAGTGCTCAGTAAATAAACAGAAAAGTAGCTGAGGTCAGGGATTCAAAGACACATTCCATTTAAAAAAAAAATCTGGGCCGGGCGCGGTGGCTCAAGCCTGTAATCCCAGCACTTTGGGAGGTCGAGACGGGCGGATCACGAGGTCAGGAGATCGAGACCATCCTGGCTAACACGGTGAAACCCCGTCTCTACTAAAAAATACAAAAAACTAGCCGGGCGAGGTGGCAGGCGCCTGTAGTCCCAGCTACTCGGGAGGCTGAGGCAGGAGAATGGCGTAAACCCGGGAGGCGGAGCTTGCAGTGAGCTGAGATCCGGCCACTGCACTCCAGCCTGGGTGACAGAGCGAGACTCCGTCTCAAAAAAAAAAAAAAAAAAATCTGTGATCAAAACATGAATGCTCATTTTACTTTTAAGTTATACATATATTTATATACATATGGAATTTATTTCCATAAGACAGAAGTTTAATAACACATATACTTCATGTATAGAACGGAGGTATCTGTGTAAAATGAGTAAATTTCCATTGTTTTATATCTAAAAGAAAAAGAAGCAGAACAAAATATAAGCTACATATCAAGATAAATTTTGATGTTAAAGAATGACACAAATAGGTCTTCTTTAAAGAATCTGAATGCAGCAGAGGATACTACAAAAGGAAGAAAAGATGACCACAGACAGCAAAAGTATCTTCAGAAATAAAAATTCAAACTAGATAATGAAGAGTGCACTTGACGTTGTCCAAAGCTTTGTCATTGTTTTCAAAATCATTAAAGAATAAGTGGCCAGGCACGGTGGCTCATGCCACTTTGGGAGGCTGAGGCAGGCAGATCATGAGGTCAGGAGTTCAAGACCAGCCTGACCAGCTTGGCAAAACCCCATCTCTACTAAAAATACAAAAATTAGCCGGGCATGGTGGCACACACCTGTAATCCCAGCTACTCAGGAGGCTGAGGCAGGAGAATTGCTTGGAGGCGTAGGTTGCAGTGAGCCGAGACGGCATCATTACAGTCTAGCTTGGGAGACAGAGCCAGACTGTGTCTCAAATAAAAATAAAAATAAAATAAGTATAATATTTTGGCATTCTAAAATACTTTCAGATTATGTTGTTTCTCTTATATACATATTTTTAATATAAATTTTTTCATCCCAACCTTGCCCCAACAGCTCAGCTGACTCCCGCCCCCCATGAGGCACATGCCTATAAAGTTGTGTTGTGAGCTTGTAAAATACATTTCAAAATAGAATTCGTTTAATTATGAAAATGTAGACATAAAATGAATTTGTATCTTGATTATAGTCAAGCAAAATTATAGTTAAATCAATTAATAAAGGATTAACATGTTCTACAATATTAAAATCAAACCCAGTTGCCTCTTCTTTTAATTCATGATTTTTCTTTCTTATGTGATTCACATTATACTCCAGTGATGATACTAACTCAAAAAGTTTTCTTAAGTCTTCATTTTTTTCTTCAGGCTTAAAAAAAGTGTTTAAAATTATTTTTGTAAAATCCAGAGACCCTCTTTTATCTTAAAAATATGATTTCTCATAAGTTGATGAGTAATATGTATTTAGGCAGGGCTATAAAGTACATTTTATAAACCTGATGCCAATAAGGGCAGATTTTAAAACTAGTCACTTTTCTCAAAATGCTAAAAATGATTCATACTTTCATCATTATCTTTTCTGAAATTTAAACTGTCAAAAATGTTTGTTACAAATGAGGAGTTTTACACACAAAATACTAAGGGTTAGTAAAAAAAAAAAGTAGTTATATTTACATTTTAGTTTTTAAAGATGCTCTAGAAACATTTTCATTAATAGTTTAAGATATTCCAACTTTTCTTAAATTACATCTTACTAAGACGATTTTTAGAAAACTCTTATCTAGTTCTCATTACATTTTTGGTCCTCATCTGTCTTCAGGTTGAGCTAAATACTGTCATTCTCTGTAAGTATTCACCCATAGGTTTCAGTTTTTCTCTTTCTCTTAACCACTTCTCTTTAAATAAAGTTTATTTTTTCTATAATAAACAAAAACACAACTTTTGT